ATGCCAGCCAATCCGAGTCGAACATCTTTAACTCGACGTTTGTCGCCCCCCTCACGGAGATTGTGGCATGATCTTGTGGAACCCTATAAATATAGTTGAAATAACTTTCCTTTGTCTCCATAAATGGCTGTGTAGAGCTACCGTACCTTTTGATATACCATAGTGGGCGGAGCAGGAAGCCAAGGGACCGATACAGAGTTGCTCTACCGTTTAGCAAGACAGCAAGGAGGATTCGGTTTCATTTTTGATGGATCTACTCCTAGCTGCGGAATGTATTGCACCCTTAATGTAGAGGAAACTGGCGTAGACAAACGGGCCAGGACAGCTAGCTAGTTGGCTTACCTGGCCATCCTCTAAACCCATGCATTTAAAGTGCCACCAGGCCTTGCAGGTGTGGCACTGTGTGCCGCGCCTTACATTCGACGGACAGCCATTTCGCCCCTATCTACTGTGGTCCACTGATGCAGCCGTCGAGCAGGTTACAACGTAAGTATTATATTGGAGTGAGAAAATTCAACAAATGTCACGTGTGGAGCCTGTGGAACAGTGAAAGAGCTCTCACAAATTCGCACGAGGGAAAACGAAATCAGTTTCGAAATTAACGCACCACAAGTCCTGAAAGAAGTTGCCGGCGTCAACGTGGTTGTTGGGCTTGAGTACTACGATGACATGGCGGGCCACATTGGCTCGAACTTCGTTCCACAAGGTGCAGCCAAACCGACTATCAGTCAGACCACGAGCAGCGAGGCAACTTAGTAAGGGGTATTCGTGCTACGAAGCGATTTATGACTGTCGTTTGCAATGGGTGTGCGGAAGACCAGCATGTTCATATTTACGAAAGCAGGGAGGGAGGGTTAGAAAAGGTCGGCTCTAAAAACTGCGCACTCCGATTGCCCAACAGCTGACCATGACTGCTAGCGCATTATTTAATGCCGTCGAAGTACTTTAAAAATTGAAGAGTTTGCTGCGTCCCAAAAGACATCCTGTGCTCATGCGCATCAGGAGTAGAACAGTAGTGCCTTACTTCCTGCGCCCTCGGATGAGGCCGTCCCCCTGCTGTCGAGCCTGCAGACTATTGAGTCGTCAGCTCCGGACAGAATCCGCAGAGAACCGCTGCCTCACGCGTCGTTCCAACTACAAGCCTAAAAAACGGGGCCGCTATTCAAACTTCTAACATCGGTCAGCCTGGTGTGGGAGACACCACACCACACCCCTCACTGTACTACTCAGTGAGTCACGGAGGCGTACAAACCGTCACACCACTCTAAGGTCCAGTCCGTTCGTGACGGAGTTACACGAGCAGACACAATTTAGTCGCAGTCAAAGGCGCTCGTGCATCGAAATAATTACCTCCAGTGCGTAGCTGCCGGCTTACGGTTCCCTAAAAGCAATATACGATACGAACTGAACTATATTCTCGAACGCTTGGCCATAAATTCCACGTTTTCCAAATTTCCGGTGACCGAAACTATAGCGGATGAGACCAACGTACTCTTGGCACATGGTTAGTAGCTTGAAAAGTGAACTGAACTGATAGACCATCTTGCCATTAGATACTAGGGGGGTCGATCACGTCTCTTCTGGAATACCTGCATGGAGTTTCATGTTGTACCAGCCCGTTTCTGTTTTTTGTTGAGCTTTTCATGTCTACGAAGGCAGGTACCGCTTGGTCATCGAGAAGCTCATGTACCCCGAGTTCAAATAAGTGTATGATAATCTATTTCCTCCGACGCTTTTCTGCTGATCCAGAATCGAATGTTAGTGATTATCGGAGCGAGACACCCGAAGCTGTACGTGATAGTGGAACTTTTACCTACGGTGAAACCCATCTGGGCCCTCCCAAACAGAGTTATGTTAAGACCATGTCTTTAGTGAAGACCCAGAGACAGATTCCTTCTAGTCAAAGCGGTATATCCCTGAATATTGAGTGACATGTCTATCAGGCTTCAGTACGGGCTGTTTTGTTATATGGCTTTGAGACGGCCTGTTCGAGCAATGGAACTGAGACGCCTTCAGGGGTTTGACAATCGTTGTCTCAGGACCATAGATCGTATGGGTTGGTGTCGGCGAATACCTAGCGGGGCATATAAAGCAAGTTTTCGGTTGCACAACAGGAACTCCCATTGGAGAGTATTCAGCACCAAAAGTAGCGTTGGTTAGGCCATGTATTACTTATGCCGGACCATCGTTTGCCTTAACCAATTCAGAGTGGCGGAAGCAGAGAGGTGGCCAGCCCCTAACCTGGTGGAGGAGTGCGAAGGAGGTCGCGAGACATTTGGGTGCTGTCAGTGATGCTGGCCTACCAGGATGGCAACTGCGTGATCCCCACTGCACCTCATCAACGTCATCGGTAGCATGACGTCAGTGTTCAACACCGATGTTCCACTGTATTTGGTTGGATAAGCTGCAAGATATGGCTGCTAATCGATGACAGTGCAGTTCATGTTGTCAGTTTCCTCCCGGATTGCCTAAGTGGGTGTCTGGATGTATAGTCACTTCGGAATGATTGTAGTAAGGTAGCACCAAGCTCCTTCCCTGTCTACTTTTATCCAAAATCAATCATGGTTGTATGGCAGCGAAGCATCAGTGTTGAACACTGATGTCATGCTGTTCATGATGATGATGATGATGAGCCTCAAGCACAGCCCGTCTTGGCGCCTCGTCCGACGCTAAGCAAACTTGAATGTTTGTAGAAACCAGGAAGTTTGGGTGACCTGAAAAGGCCGAGGAAATTGAAGGAGCTAAAAATACTGGCAATGTCCGCATATTGTTCCCCTTGACTCGTCCAGTAAGACCAAGGATCACCATGTCTCTCTGATGTTCAGTAAAGGATGTTTGGACCATTGAATAGAACACAAATTCAGTTGGTCAGCTGTTGCTTCCAGTCCGGATTGTCGACCTTTGGCGGAGACATGGACAGTAAATCTGGGGACCGCTTAATCGTAAGAAGCGCCGTTGGTCTCGACGACCTTCCTCCTGATCTGCGGTCGGTGGTGAATTCCTCAACTAGTCTTTTTCTAGCCTGGTAGAAACACCCTCTTAGACAGTTGGTACGGGTCTGTAGTACCACCCAGTGAATGTAGTAACTACAGGGATGTCAGTTTGATCCCGTTGTAACAAAGTTCTGGCATCACTGATTCGTCGTTTCGGGACCTCGAAGTAGCGCCGTGGTTTAGGCGTGAGCCTACTGACTGGATGGTCATCGGTTTGAATCCAACATCTCGGCTACTTCTGCTTAGACAAGATGGTAGTCCCAGCCGTTGTGCTTCCTTTGGGTGGCATGGCAGCTAGGTACCGAAAGCGTGTTACACCCGAACGATGGGATGGGTTCCTCGTAATTTCTTCCGCACCTCGCCGGAGACGTTGCAGTAACCCTCTTGCTGTTAGTTTTTATCCAGATTGTTTTGTGTTTTCACTGGCGGGTGTGATCAGGTAGTGCGGCCCAGTGGAATTGTTATTGCAGTTATATGTAAAAGAGTTGACACCTGGGGCCCGCGTATTGTGGTCTAATGCGGCGCTGTTGTTCATAACTGTGTCATTGCAATTAAGCCCGATGATGACTCAATCCTTACTGTCCGACGTTATCCCTCCGAGTTCATCTCGATTCACCTACTCACCATTATAAGGGGTCGTCGAACTCGAAGGCTACATGGCTCTATGTGGTACAGGAATTAATGAAATCGGTGTAAAATAATGGGGAAAAGACTTACGTCATCGTTTGTTTGTTTGTATGTTTCACGATATTAAGTGATGGGACAATCTGGATGAGCTGTGTTCTGAGTTTGGCGATGTCGTGTTTCATAAATGGTGGCGACTGGTGCTATTTTTGCGTCCTACTTTTCAGTTTCCAGAAAGTTATTCCAAAGCAGTTAGAGACAAGAGACAACGACAGCTAGTGAGTGTGGTTTTGGGGCAGAAACAGTCTTTTAGGCCTGAGTTGAGTGTCTTCCGCCTCCGATCATTCACCAGTGCATTCTTTCATCCTGCATCTCTACATCATCCGTTGGCGTGAGTACTATTTTTTAAGCTGGGAGCACTTTCGGAGTCATCCATAGGATGCAGTTTGACCTCTGAGTTTCTTTCATGCATATATTCATCCGTGCATGCTGCGTTTCAAGTCTCAGCATCTCCGTTCTATCTGCACCCTTCAGTCGTTGCATTAATATGTGGTCATCTCATGGCGGTTTATCACCGCCGCTTTTGTGCTGTGTGACTTTTGGGTGCTACGGAAGCACAGGCTTCCGAACCAAGATCACCAAAACGGGGTTGTGTTGCTTATGATCGAAATTGCTTCCTTTTACACAAATAGGCTACTTACTAATGCCGTTTCTCCCTGTTGCAGTCAATTTCACACATACTTCCGGTTGAAGCTTCCCGAAGACACCGATTTTCCAAACAGTTTGGGGTTACCGGTAAGCAAATAGTTGTACTCATCCATGTCATTTTTAGCTCATAAGGTGCTTCACCAGCAAATCTTCAATTTAGTCTGTTTTCTATTGTGCATTAGTGATGCGTCCTCCCATCGTACAGCAGGTAGGTGTTTCTTTCCCTTACTAATGCCTGCAGTTATGTTTACAGATGGAAAAAATTCAAGCTGCCTTTTCGAGCTTATCCAAAGTGACTTTAACACTGAAGGTTTATATCCTCTTTAGGACCTTGATCAAAGATTGATATCATTCCTTGAGCTCTGCCGTCCCTTTTCTTCCTTGGAATGGAAATACGTCGACCCGGAGGACAGATTTAAGGTCTTCTACGAGGCATTCAAATTCCTTCATGATGGGTACCTCATTTGTCAGGTATTTCAAATACATAACTCTTATGTGTTTAGCGTTGCCGCACACTGGATGCTTATTCAGAGAGTCAACTGAAGGCCATTTTTTCCTCGCTCTACGAAGTCCAAATGGTATATGATCCCTTACCACTATTCAACGAGTTCTAGTTTTTTGTCGAAGCACTGAAGATCAATAACCCATGCAGCGATCTTTCTACCCCAGAACCTATTGCAAGGTGTATGTCACGTACTTCACAATCTGGCTGACATTCACTATCATAGTGTTATTATTATTGGTGAACTGTGCTAGTGAAGGTGGCTCGTTAGATCCTCGAGTTGGTGTTGGCTTATGGAAGTTTTTCTCCAGGTAATGATCTAATCTTTAACTAAACTTGGTAGCCTTCTTCAACAGAATATCGGTGACTTGAGGAGCAGCCAGGTATGGGCAAACGGTGCAGATTTTTTGGACCAACTCTTACGTCCACTTATGGAATCGACGATCCACTTCTATAAGTGTTGTTTACGTGAGGTCAGTCCCAAGTTGAAGTTGCATTCACAATTCTCTCTATGTGTGGGAAAATCAACGTTACCACTGGTGCTTCACTGTCTTTTGACTGAAAAGTTGGGTTTGTCAAAGACGAATAAAAGACTAGAGTGAACTGGGAGGATGAGCTCACCAAAGCGATTTCCTTTTTAGGCCTGCGCTTTGTACTCACAACATCTAAGTTCCTGCTCCCGCGCATACAGTCCACAAACACGCTGCTTACTGTCCAGAAAGGAACACTCGAAGTTGTGAAGCTTTTTCATATGTCTTAGAAGCTGTATGGGCCTGTATCGTATTGTGACAAATGAGATTAGTGCACGAATCGCGGTCTCGGGTCGCATTCGCTAATTTGAGACGTCCTTGGTGCCAAAGTGGTATATCCCTGAATTTCCAGAAGCATATATATCAGCCTACGGTACGGGTTGTTTCGTACAGCTGTGAGACTTGGTCTCTGCAAACAGCGGAACTGAGACGTCTCTTCAGGTCCTCGACAACCGTGTAGGTTGCTGTCATCGGATGCTTCCTTCGGGCGGCATGGCAGCTAGGCACCGCAAAGGTGTTACAACCGAACGATTATTTATTAAGCGATGGTTGGTATGACATCATTTGTCTGTGCGGTTTGGTTTTTCAATGGTCTGAAATACCGTCAATATGCCAGGTCAAAACCGGTGGCTCAAAATCCCTACTGCAAAACAGCGGGGGCAGTTGTATTATTACTACAGTATCACCTGTTCTAACTACGAACGTATAGAGCTAAGAGACTGCCAGTCATATCACCGACTATTGGGGGAATAGAGTGCCGCTCTGAACCATTCCGCTTAGTTTAGCTGAGTGGGTCAAAGAGATGCACCCAACCTGGTCTGGGGGAATAGGGTGCCGCTCTGAACCATTCCGCTCAGTTTAGCTGAGTGGGTCAAAGAGATGCACGAATCAGCCAACAGTGAGGTGCAGCTTCTTTGTGACAATCTATTAGAGCAAAGCAATAACACTCATTCGCAAACTCATCCTTGTCTGCTCAGATGGGCTTCTTGAAATGACCTACGCAAATGGCTAAGGGACCTCTAGACACAGTCCATCGCGGACTGTTAGTGCTCCTAATTCCGAGCTGTCGACCGCCATCTCCATCGACTCTCGCTCCGCAACTGGGTCGCCACGTATGGATTCACTTTCCTCCTTTTTTATCCGTCACCTGCATTGCACAATCATCTGATCCATTGTTTATCAGTGGACAGAATTTGTAGTCAGGACCACTATGAATTTTAAACGAGATACATTTGCTAATTATGACTACAATGATTATGATGCATCGGATACGTTCAGTAACTCGTTCTGAATGACTAGTATTATTGACAGTCTGAGGATGTTTAGGTTTAGCCTTCAACCATCAGGTGGGAAGTCGCGGGTTTGAATCGCTGAGATGCTCACTGTTGATAATTTTGAATAAGGATGAAAAAGCTTGACGATTTCTGAGATGCTCAGTGTTGATAATTTTGAATAAGGATGAAAAAGCTGTACACTTTTTCTCTGCCCTTAGAGAAATTGGTATTATTCTAAACATCACTTCAGTGCATGGAAATTTCACAAACCATATTGGCGTTAAAAACGAGTTTGTTGCAGTCAATTGTTTATGGTGCAGCCTGACAGTGTTTTTTTTATCCCCAAGGTCAACTTTCGCGTGCTCAGAAAGTATACGTACTTCGTTGGACATTTACTTGTTGTTTGTTCGGTGTTGGTAGACCAATTTGATTTGTTCGTTTTCATCCTCTTCAGACCACACCACCCGACGTCGTAACTGCCCAGTCTTCCAACACCGGTGTTCAAACCGCGAATTTGAAGATGCTGAACCTACTGTGCCGAATCGCTACTTTCTGTATAAAAGAGTTTGCAGCTATCTCGTTACAAGCCACTGTAGGACGTACTAGTTCAAGTTTACTGACCTGGATTACTTGGATGGTTAGGTGCGTTCGTTGTTCCGGATGTGGATGAAACTCACTTGGCTTCTTCAACTCCTAACAATTGATGCTTGTTTTTTGTGTTGTCTAATTCATTGAGATCATGCCTCTTTGAGTCTAAATTCAAGCCATCACATCAGTACACCAGTAATTCATACTTGCGCCTAACTGCCATACAACCCTGAGGAAATAACTCCCCATTTAAGGGTGGAGAGAATAGAGTAGTGTAGGATTTTAGTGCAAAAGGGCTCTATATCCTCAAGGGAGACAACCAAGAGTAAACTGCTCACACCTTTGGACAACATCAAAGTAAACACATCTGAGTATCGCGTCGAATTAAGGCACCATCAGCAGGATTGATCCAGCTTTCTTTATCAATATCACCCGAAATCAGCTGAATACACAACGACAAACGGACTGTAGCTAAGACGTGCGGATACGACATCAGGGCTTCTAACAACGTGCAAGCCGAATCACGTGGGTTCATCCCTGAAGGGCGCGAAGATTCCGCAGCGTTCATTTTGCCTGTAGCTGCTTTCAACTTCATTGACATGCCTAAACTCAGAACTACGATCTGTTAGCATGGGCATTTGAACATTTTAACGAGTCGTCTCAATTGTAGCAGGTGTGCAGATACGGAAGGTATTCGTCCTCTGAGATATGTTATAATACCACACTTAAATTTGCTGTCATTGCCATAATGACAATTTACATCATCTTTAGTGACTTGAATTGTCTGAAGCACGCGAACGACGTTTCTTCCTGTTTAAGAAAAATTAGGAAGTGTAAATTAACGGCAATCAGTATGTCCTTCTTCGTGTGCGCTGCACATACAACTCATTTTCCACGACCCACCATTTCCGCTCATGCTTTCTGCAATTTTGACAAAGGTCTGGAGAGTCTGGAGCGCGCTGCTTATCTTGGAAGTTGTATCCGTCTCGGCTATGCCCTGTAGGTGCAGTCAATACACCATTTTCTGAAGATCGAAACTGCATTCACAATTGTCAACCATTGATGGCGTCAATCAGCACCTCAGTCAACCTCAGATGGGTCTGATATATGAGTTTTTCAATTCGAATGCAAGCCAATTTCTGGAAATTAGACGTATTAGGCTTTTCCTCTCGTATACAACCGAATTCTCAAACAGACGATAATGCCATTTGTTTTCATGGATTTAAGTGAAGAAGCTGTAACCTGGCACCCATACGCCAGACAACCAATATGTGATTTGGGCATAACAAATCGTTTTAACTAATCGTCGTACTACCCAACTACAGTGGCCTGTCTATGGTCATTTGGCAACGTGATACCAACAAAATGCAGCGCGAGATTGCTCAATGGTTTAGGCGCCAGTTTACTAACCGGAAGGTTTGTGATTCTAAATCAACATCGCCATCTCGACTGCTTCTTTGTTGGCTTGGGTAACATGACATCATCTCAGCCCTCAGACTTCTTTCGGGTTTTGTGTGGTTACTCCTCCCATTGTTCGAAGTGGCCACCTTGACATGGTGGTTGGGCTTGAGTGCTGTAATGATCCGGCGGTCCATACTGGCTGGAACGTCGTTCCACAAGGTGCAGCCAAACCAAGAAAACCAAAAGGAGAGTAGTCAGACCAAGAACAGCGAGACCCTTTACTACGTGTAATCGTGCTACGAGGCGATCTGTGACTGTCCTCTGCAATGGGTGTGTGAAGGCAACAAGGTGTTTCATGCAGGCGAACAGCGTGTCCATTTTATGAAAGCAACAATGCTGTTTTCCCTTGAGAAGGGATGGATTAAAAAATATCGGCTCTAAAAACCGCGCACTCCGATCGCCCAACTGCTGACCATGACCGCTAGCGCATTATTCAATGCGGTCGAAACCGAAGAGTCTGTTGTGGCTCAAAATGCACCTTCTGTGCGCATCCACATTATAAGTAAGAGAGTAGTGCCTTACTCCCTGTGCCCTCGGATGTGGCCGGCCCCCTGAAGCCGAGCGTGTCAGTTTATTAAGGCGTCGGCTCCGGACAGGGTTTGCAAAGAAACTCCTGCTGCTAGCTACAGCACCGTCAACGTTTTGAGTCAGAGGCTAGAAGCAAGTTCCCCGAACGAAATCTCACATCCTCGCATCCTCTTAGAAGAAAAAATAAAGTACGAAACCTCTTTACTGAAACGTGAGAATGCACCAGGACCGGACGCTGTGTATCCAGCTCATTTCAATGAAGCCAAAAAATCCCTGGTGACCCGTCTAACAAAGCTCATTGGTGCGATCTGGAACGGAGAGAAAATTGTTGCAGAATGAGTCGTGTCGTCAGCTATTCCCGTCTTCAAAAAGGGTACGCGGACGCTGTGGGAAAGCCACCGTGGCATCAGCTGCGGCATCGAAGGTGCTGTCTGGTCGCATGCTTCGATGGTCGACTGAACACACGGAGAGAGACAAAGAGATCCGTGAAAACAAAGCTGGGTCCCCTCCTGCAAGAGGATGCACCGATCACGTTTCACACTCCGGCAGATTTTGGAACAGCGACACTGCTTCCAGTCAGCAACCATGGGTGTATCTCTTGACTTGTAATGTTTTTGGCTCTGTAGACTGTCAGGTACTATTGCAGTGTCTAGGGATCAAAGGTGACTCCCATAAATTCTTCAGGAATCTCTCACCTGGGTTCATTATATCGAGTGATGTCAGGCAAGACTGTCCCCATTCACCCTTCATCTCCAACTTCGTCACTGGTACGATAATGGAAGACTCACTACCAGCCTCTAATGCTTGCGGGGTAGAAGTACTCCCAGGGTGTTCGGTCACAGATATCGTGTGCGCGGACAACATAGCTCTTCTTGCATCCGACGACGTTGTGTTGCAGAATCTTAAGTCTGACTAATTCAGCCTCACGGTTTGGCATGCGCTTCATCCCGGTATAGTGTAAAGGGCTACTGCAAAACTGGGTGGGCTTGAACCCATCTGAATAATTTAGCCTCACGGTTTGGCATGCGTTTCATCCCGGTATAGTGTAAAGGGCTGCTGCAAAACTGGGTAGGCTTGAACCCTTGCCTCATGCTTGCGGTGAGCTGATTGAGGTAGTAAACAAATTTGCTGACTTAGGCAGCTGTATCAGTCGCGGTCGTCTACCTCATGCTTGCGGTGAGCTAATTGAGGTAGTAAACAAATTTGCTCACTTAGGCAGCTGTATCAGTCGCGGTCGTCGCCCAAAAGGTTATATTTTTTCCGGACTGCTAAGGTCAGAGCAGGTTTTGTGTATTTGCGTCACCTGTGGCGTAGGTGTGCCATCAGCTGATCCGTCAAAGCTCGGGTTTACAATGCTGTGATGTGCTCCATATTACTGTACGGTGAGGACATCAGAAAAGTTCTAACGTTTGGCGATCGATCTCTTTGAAGCATTGCCCGAGTCTTATGGGAACACCGGATCAGTAGTGCTGAAGTACGTCCAATGGTTTTCGGAAGAATCGATGCGCTCACGATAGATGAACTGATCACACTGCATAGGTTGCGCTGGCCAGTTGACCGACTTCTTCAGCGAAGCAGTGGGCAGCTGTCTTTTTACCTCATTGGAGACCATCGGTACTGAGTGCGTTGCGTGTTGAACTGTGGAGTAGCATTTAATATTAATTGTAATTGCAACGTTGTAAGCCGGTGTACATTATTCAATCAAAGATCAGCTGTTGGTTTTGCAGGGTCGCGACTATGCGCTCAATAAGTCAGTTTCGGTCGTAGTTATTCTGAATTGATCGCCGTATTTTATGTATCTATCTGCCACTGATCTTAAATATGGTTGAATAACTGATTCATTCATTCATTCCTGATATTTCTTTCACTCAGCACGCGTTATGCGGGAGGACCCAATCCCTCCGGATCGGGACTCTCTGCGGAACTTGTGAAACACTTGGAGACTTCCATGTATCTGTCAACAGATGTTTTACTTGCACATATGTCTACAGTACCGCCACCTACGAAGCAGAGAGAAACCGAATGTTCTTCTGCCGCCCTATGGTTGCGTAGTGCAAGTGAGTTTCTTGTTCATACGATCAGTTGATGAACACAACATAAGGGCTTCCTTGTTAATTTTACTCAACTGTGGAGACAAGCAAATAAGACGCTGTGTTTTCCCTTAATTGACATTCTTTCTACCGCACGTTGTATCTAGTTTTGTTTTAACCGGTTTCCTTTCCATGGATACAAAGTTCTAGCATTCTCGATTGAAATCATTTCGATGCGACAGATCAAATTATGAAGAAGCCGAATAGGCGCTCCTGTTTGAGATAGCATGGGCGTTTTGTGGTTTCTAACCACGTCAAAAGAGATTCACGTGGACCCCACCCAGGAAGCACAGAGATTCTACAGTGCTCAGCTGTACACCGGTCGCTTTCACTCCATGGTGTACTATGCAGACGTTTCGTCAACAGGGATTTGGGGTGGAAAACAAGGCTTCCTTTGGTATTCGGTGATCAGGCATACGTGATAAATGCCCCAACCACCTCAACCTGATAAGCTCTGTCTGCTCATGGAGTGAATCCGACCCATTTTCTAGTGCTCGCTTACGAACCTTTTCATTACGTGGACGTTACAGCCAGTTGAAGCATGCCATACTACAGAAACATCGGTCGTGAAATGTTCGAGGTCTTCAGGTCGGAGAGTTCCAGTTCCATAGTTATAGTGTGGGGCTGTTCTCATGATCGTTTTTGTAGACACGGCTTTTCGACTGCAGTGATATTCATTTCCGGCCCCAAAAGTGACGCAATTTGACAAACATTACTTGTGTCTTAGTGGTGCGTGTGCTAACTTCATCCGTCTTAGTGCAATCACAGCTTGCGCGGGTGCAACGATGAATAGACCCATCAACAAATTGAAGTTAGTACATGGGAGTGAGGAATTCTGGAATATGAACCTTTCAGTTTGTCGGTGCAGACTGCATACCGAGACAGGGGGCCAACTCCGACATCCTGTTTAGAGCATTTTGGTAAGATGCATGGTCATATTCTGTATCCACCAATGTCTGTCCAGATGTGATACGGATTCGCAGTCCCACGGAGCGTACACTCCGGGCTGCTGTCAAGGCCAAAAATGTCAAGACAAATGGGGAAAAAGGAGACATCCCTGGCAGTCTTCACTGGTTTTGGGTGAAGTCTTTCTATAACTCATCGTAAACTTTAACCTGACAGCTAGCATCGAATAAATGTCGCGAAACTGGTTCGGGAACTTCGGCATGTCGTCTTGGAGAACGTTATCGTGACAAAGAGACTGTGTAAATTATGTTATCCTGATTTGACGGTAGTAGTGAGGGAGTGGCTTGTGAATAAGGTTTCCCATGATTACATTCCTATTCATCTTGTTGGTGGTTTGTATGGTTCGATCGTATCACCATAGATTCACGCATCGTCACATGGTAAGGATAGCATGTTAGATAAGTTAGCTTTCCGTTTTCCCCTGAAAGCAGGTTATTATTTTACTTCATTTTTTGAAATCAAGGTCTATTATTTCTGCTTATGTAAGGATATTTCTTGAAATATTTGGGACCATATTGGATCGGACTACTTTCTTATTTGTGTTACGCTATTTCGAGCCCTTTTATCGCCGAGCAGACTAATGGTACTAAACTAGATGCGGTTAGGCCTATTTAGTTCATGAAAGTATAGGTTGTAGTGTGTTATTATGTACTCTACATGTATCATGAGTGTTTTGCTTTTAGCTAATCGGGGCTCTTATACGAAGAGACTCCAAGCTTATCGGCTAATCGTACTGAGGAGTAACTCTTTGATTGCCAAATAATTCAGTATTGAGAATTCCAAATTGCAACTGAGCCAAATGAGTGTGAAGTTCACTTACAGTGTTTGGGCTGTTTGCCTATTTGTTTGGTGATAGACTTTGATATTCTCCCCTAAATACTACGATAGACTCATTTTCAATACCCTTCGTCGGGTTTTCTGCACATTTCAATGGACTTTGTCAACATTCATAACGCGAAATTCTGTAAGCACTACGTATGCGTGGTTATGTGCCATCTCATGGCACAGGTAGCAGGGTGAAAACAAGTGTTGACAACCAGTGATCTACGGCTTTTTGGACCTGTGTAAGACCAACTGAGGACATTTTAACAGGATCGTTCCGATTAGGTCTACGCGCAGCATTGTATTCGGCTTAAAAGCACTCCTGTATTTTATGATTGGTACCTTTTTTCTACTTCATCGTCATGCGTAGGTTTGGTTGCCTTCAGGCTAGCTTAGACTAGATGCCAACTGAGGTGCGTGATCCTGCTACTATGTGGACGTCATCCACCATCTTGCACTTCTGTGGGCGCACTAATTGCGGTGTTCGATTAGTATGTGGAACAGCGAGGCTTGTACAGTGCTTAGAGTTTTCTTTCAATGTCTCATATGTATGGCTGTGTATGAGACCATAATGTAGCAGGGACCATTTACCATTTCGAGTGATCTTGGAATCTTTCCGACAATGGAGAAGATGACCCTGATCAGCTGCAGAGAATACTGGTCGTTAGTTTGGGAGAGAGGAAGTTCGGTCACCGCGTTGCTAACTTTACGTTACTCTGTGCGTATTTTTGATTGGGAGTGCGGTTTTGGGTCACATAAAAATCTTCATCGGGTCCTCTTTCTTTCCCCACTTTTGGTCTGTTTCAGCTATTCAGCCAACCGTTCGATTACGGGTCTATGCCGGAATCTTATTAAACCTTCCCAAGAACCCCCGTAAGTTGCCTGAGGTGGATAATTGTTTGAAGCTGTTTTTGATTTTCACCAACAAGTCGCAATCGAACTAGATTTGCCGTTTGTTTGTTTGGATTTTATTTTAATTCATTCTGAGTTAGCTCGGGTCTTCCGTGCAATTAGGGGGATGTCTAAGGAACAGAGTATTTGTGAACGCAACTAGTAAGTGAACCTTAGTACTTTAAACTGAGTGAGTAGACGATAAAATTTCGTTTTTTCTTCAAATATCTCTTTCTAGTTCTTTTTAGGAGATCTCATACGTTGGTCTGCGCACCGGAGAAATCCCCGTAACATATGAGCGATTGTCGAACCATGGGGATTTTAATTAAATCTACTTAACTCTAATCACACGTATGCTATTTCCTCAAGAATCCATACACATTGCACACTCCTAAAAGCAAAACCATTCACTTTTCTGGGGTAACAGTCCCATTTCTCCCCTCCGCTACCCGCCATCACAACAGCTGAATTTCTCAGAAAGTGCGTAAAATCACTACTACTGTCACCGAACGACTACTTTGTTACTGTCTATCAACATTTACATTTTCGACAGACGCAATATTCTGCAATAATTCAATGGCGTGACTGGGGGTAATCCTTAAGAGAGCCAGGAACCTTGTACTATAATGCACAGAAAGCTTCTTATGTCGCAGAACCAAAAAGCGTAGGAGCAGTATTTGCCACTCAGTATGGGATGATCGCAATCGAAAGCGAGGCTGTAAAATCCCATCTATGACGTTCAGCGGAACATGCTCAGTGAAAACGTGCTGATGGTGGTGGGTAATGGCTTATCTATATATACTTACCAGAGGAACGGAAAGGAAAGCTCATCGTGACTGTTACGCTAACGGCTACAGGTTCGGTATATATAAGTCGAAATCGCAAAGGGTCATTAGGAATGACGGTGAACCGAATGGGAAAATTGCATTCACCACCCGAAGCCTGTAGTGCATGCACTCCGCAAGCGTCCAACCATCGGTAAAAAATCGTTCAACTGTAATACCCTTCCGGTCCCTAGCTGCCGTGCCGCCTGATGAAAGCACGGTGTCTAAGACACTACCAGTGTAACGGTGATACTACTGATTAGGGAGGCACGCGAGCAGTATGTGTTGTTCGTAGAATTTCGCTTCGCGTCGATTGAAAAAGGGAATTCTGTTGCGGAATTTGTGGGGCCACTTTGTAACGTTTGCTTGGATTTGACCGACGAATCAGTGGTGGCAATGAATCTCCCGGAA